CAACACGTCACCACAAAGCACGCCTCCTGCATGCAATCCCACCTTCCTGTGTGGCACACAGCTTCATTCCCATCTTTCTCACCTCTCCAAAACTCACAGCAGGACAGTTTGCTCCCTTGTAACACTTCCTGTTTGCTGCACACTTCATGTCAACCTTCACACAGACCCCAGTAAGGCAAACTAAGTCCTTAGGGCAGCGTTCTGGTGATTACTATGCTCCTGAAGCTTTCCCTGCTTTAAACTCCGAGCTACCTGATTCCATGCACTTGTTTTCCTGGGACAAATTACAGGTTGTCAGCAACCTTACAGCACACTTCCCCTCACCTATAATGTCAACCACGTGGAGTTTCAGGTTCTGCCGCAGTGTATTCAGAGCTGCCGAGAGGGAACCCTGAGACGGTGACATCTTCAGGTTCTGTTTCACATCATTGGAAAGGGACAACCACAGCTTCCCAAAGGCTTCTGTAGTCATTTCCATTGGCCTACAAACAAGTTCATCACAGGGCTTAGCAAAGTGAGATGCATTATTCAGAACATATTCAGTCTCTATAAAAAAAAAATCTGGAAGGAACTGGACAATAGAGCAATAAGCAAATACAGATTAAACAAACCCCTCCTCTTCCCAGCTTAACATTTTGAAAAAGTTTCTATTCTGTCCTCTTGATTTCTAAATTTAAAAACAACATACATTATTCTACGTAAATGGAAGACCAAAGTGAACGGCCTTGAGAAACCTGCCCCCTGAAAGAGGTGACACGAGTTCAACGAGAGGTAAGCTTTGCTGTGGTGAACCAGGTGGATTTCACTGTAAAAGAGAAAAGCCACCTGGAAAAAGAACATTCGCTTTTGTAACTCTGAAATTCAACGCAGTGTTCAGAAATGAAAAGAAGGAGCTTTCTTCTTCCCCTGCGAAAGCTGTCAGCCTTCTCCCAGAACGCAGAGGGCCCCACTCGAGTCACTTGTTTGACACGTTTGTATTACGCTGTATTTTAAACCAGCCCTTCTCCTCCCTCCGTCGGGGTGGCCTCCTCACAAAAGCGTTTGGCAGTTCAAGCCTATTCTACCCTGCAGCTACTGTCAGTATTCCCACAGGATTTGTACTTTTTCCGGGAGGTTTTCCCCTTTTTTGTAAGTGTATAAATAACCATTTACTATCTTTAACAGTCACCTCAATTGGATAAAAATCAGATGCTCAAGATGAAGCCTTATGTTTTCATAATCAATACCCAAACCACCCTGCCCTTCTCTTACACTCGTGTGAGTACGCGCACTTTTAAAAAACTGTGGCTTCTTTTAGTTACCTGATGAAGTCCAACAACGACAGAGCAACCGAAAATTCAAGGCGCGTTTCCACCTCCGACTGGTACTTAACAGAGCCAGGAAGAACTCCCTGTGTACAGATTTTGTCCATCCACACGCGTTTCTGACAACGTTCCACGCTTTGAGCTTCAATTACAGGAAACTGGTAGGTGGGACTCTCCAGCATCTAGGTGAGTTGTGAAAAGCAATGCAGAATGAGAGTCTGGCTGTCAAGGTGGGCAAGTGGCTAAGACTATAAAACCGTGTGAGTTCCTTCTATTTCAATTGATTTTTCTTGGACTGTTTGGCAAGTGAGCAGCACTACCACTCCTCAGCTCTCAGCGAGGATAAACCAATCGTTAACAGCTACGGAAGTTCGGTGAGGATTAACATACTGGAGGGATTTATCTCTTTCTGCCAATTGGTTTCCCTCCCTCCTCCACATGCAACATACCCCAAGCTATGTGCTAAAAGCAAGAAATTGAGAAATCACCCCGAATCGATGCCACAGCAGCTCTGATTCAAGCCAGGAATGGGAAGGAAGGAGACTTCATAACCAATTAGCAGTTCCGTGATTAAGTCCCAAAAAAAAAAAACCCATTCTGCTTAATTCTCTTTATCCACTTAGCACCTGAGTCTCTCCGAGGTTTCATAATCCTGTGTTACTGTCAGCAAAATCCATGGATAGTCATGCCAACGGGCAATTCCTAAAGAGCTTTCCAATGATTTAAGTGGTTTCGGTCAAGACAGTCACATGCTTTTACCAGCCACAGTTAAATCCCAGATGTCAAAAAGCAAACTGACCGACTCCCCTCCCCCATCAACTGAGTGCAGGAGAATCGGAATGAAACGTGACTGATGCTTAGTATTGGTACTTCTTTCATGGCCCTTCAGGATGGGTGTTTTAAGGAAATGCTTTGGGAAAAGGGCAGGGCTATCACATTAACCCAAACATTGCACACTTCAATGCAAGCGAAAAGCAAGAAGTTCCAAGCAAATTTGAAATATAATGGAAACGGAGTCTCTCACCTGAAAATGCTCTGTTTCTTCAAACACTAAGTTCACAGCATTCAGTGCAGAAGTGGCTTTGTTTGAAAGAAAAACGGTGAGCAACAGAGAATCACCTGTCCACACCTTGCAGAAATACAGCGCTAGGGCCTCGCTCTGACAAAGTTCCGCTACTTCAGAGTGAGCGAGATCTTCTAGCTCTTCCGGTAAGGAAGGGACCAACGGGGTTTGCCTGGCGCTGTCGCGTCGAGCACTTGAAGAAGGCTGAAAAATCTCAATATTGCTATCGGCAAACAAAGACGACTGCGAGAGCCTGCTACCTGAAAGTCTGTCATCCAGCCCAGGTTTTTTTGGGGACTGAGGTGTTTCAAATGCTAAATTATCCTCTAAAACATCTGAAGAACAGAGGGAGGTTTTCTGTAACATTGGGTGTGTATTTCCCTCACAGTCTTCCGCGTTAGGATCAAGTAAGGGACCAAACTCTGAAGCAGCACTATTCTGGAAGTCTAACACCTCCTCACTATTCTGAGTTTCATTTATCTTTGATTTTCTTTTGAACTTCTGGGTAGCTGTGTCTGTCTTCCCCATCTGAAAAGGAAAAAAAAGGAAAAAAAGCAGGTGGGGAGGTTTCTAGCAACCAGCTGTGTAACAGCATGGAACGGAGTGAGCGAGGACAACAATGACCAAGGGATCGGGTCAGACGACAAATAAAAACAGACTCTTATGGTGCCAGTCTTGAAAAGATTACCAGATTGTGAGGTCTTTAATGTTCCACACATTACCGTCCATAAATTAAAAGTGGTCTTGACACAGGGCGACAAACTGTAAGCCTTACGGCCAAATGAAGGCTAAGAGGTCTGCAAAGTTGGGCCAAGGAACAACTGTTAGGGAAAACGGACTAAAACTTGAAGCGCAACGCGTAAGCTTCAAATGGAAGTTTCTAGTCAGTGAATCAGCTCTGCTCCAGAGGTTGCTGCACCAAGTAGTATCCAACCCATTTCATGTTCCTAACAAATTATCAGAGTACAACAGTAATTTTCAACAGTTTTTCAATGACTCGGGGAGTTTCACCTTGTTTTACCACATGAATTCGATCCCCACTTGCACATAAACATATGCAATTGTAAATAAGGTAATGTATCAACTTTAAACTGGGAAGTCTCCAAAGAATTCCTTACCAGACTGACACCGGCACTGGATCCCAGCCCAATGAACAAAGTCGATGCCAACTGCTGCTTCTCTTGGTCTTCTGCAGAGAGGCCGGCGTCTTGGTCAGACCGCAGCGCGGGAGGCTCACCCACCTGTCCTGCTAACAAGCTCCCGCAAGAAACAGCTGGTGGCTCCTTTCCTTCCCCTACTTTGTTCTCTTTCTTGGGAAGATAGCCCTCTTTTCCCCACAGCTTGCGTACCCCCTCAAGCTTCAGAGTATTTGTCCTAAAAAGGCAAACGAAAAAGCAGGGTCAACCGTGTGCACGTCACGCCCACAGAAACACAGCAACACGCTAAGCACCACTCACAGCTTCGGTACTCCGACATCCACGGCGAGGAGTGGAGTATCAACGAGCACTTTTGCATCTGCACAGAGTTCGGTGTCAGCAACAGCATCCACTGCTCTAACACACCCCACAAATGCAAGCTCGGTCCAGGCTGTATAGTCCTAAGTGCAGACACCCGCAGCCAGCAGCAGGCTCTGCCTGCCAACTCCCTCCAGTTTCAGATTACATTTATAACCTACTGGAATTATTTTTTAAAAGTGAATACAAGGCATATGGAATCTACCTTTCTCCCCAGGAGAAATATTCTGGGACTCTCTAAATATACTTATTTATCTAACTATACTTAAAGTATGGTGCTGATTCCTTAAAAAATAAGTTAGAGACTGAAAATTTGCGGAGACCTAGAACACATGGTTATTTCTTATGAGAAATTTTGATGTTTTCAGGCAGCCTGAGCTCCAGCAGAAGTTAACTCAACAGACACAGGCTAAATGCTGCAAGCCTCACCCAAATCTTCTTACACAAACTGGTCAAAGAATCTGAAAAAGCTTCCAAAGTTTCCTACATAGGAATTTACCAGTGTAAATGGAGTTATTAGTTTGTATGAAATGACGGACATGGAATTTATTTGTAATGTTCTAAAACTTAAAGTGTCTTACACTCACTTTTCTCTAAAAAAGCTTCCTTCAAAGGCACATTAAGCCCATAAGAAGTAAGCATAGCCTGTAGGAATAACAAGGGAGACAGAGGAAGGAAGTACTTAATCATGTAATCATCAGGTAACCCTGTCCCAGTTTCACTGCTTTAGCTATCACTTCATCTGCAGTTGGTGAAGAAAAGGGGGAAAGAACAGTCTAACTGCATTAGCTTTTTTCCTAGACGCTGTCTGAATTTCTTCTCAGAGGAGAGAGGTGTCCAGGTCCAACTGCACCCTGTTCAGCTGCGTGTAAAGCAGCAAAGGCACAACACTGACAAGAGCAGAAGCTGAAATGTGCTTCATCGCAAAACACCAAGTAACTCACTCTTTATGCCCTGTCTCAGCACTGTTACCAGACGTATCAGAACCAAAAGATAAACCAGTGGGGGACTGTCTGCCGGTGACACCAGATGAGGACACGCTTGAAGTAAACGACAATCCATAAGGTTCAAAATTCAGAGCTGCAAGACACAAAGTTACAATGAGGCATAAAAAGGTAAGAAGGAAATCAGTTTTCTGAAAACAGACATGCTGTGGCGCATGAAATGAAGCGGAAACAGCGACTTCAGAGTAGCACTAAACATCTGCCGATGCTTAGCATTTGTAGACAGAAGCACTGTACTGGATCAAAGCTCTGATGTGAGCTTTGCCATTTGCCCGTGAGCCTAAATAACACTTGGGAGTCCATAGTTACGCCCATATATCACAAGCTGCTTTCCAATGTGCTTGCCACCTCGGGTGACAAATCATTTTCTCCAAGATTTGCCAATCAGGGCTCAGAACCAGCCTCTTTATCTGTGCTTTACAGATCAAAATGCATTTTGAATAGTTTCTAAGAACTGTTTTGGACATAAAGAGCCATTGCTATGTACGAAGCAGCACAGACTCTCCTCTGCAGCCCTGGAACCATCAAAGGGTGCAGCAAAAAAACCCAGTCTTACACTTCCTTCTTCCCAAAGGGAAGCAGCAGGGCAAAGCTGTTGGGCACCTGGGATGAGAGAAATCTCCTGATGAAGGAGGAGGCAGTGCTACGGAAGCGTCCTGTCCCATGAAGGAGCAAGAAGGAACAGAGATCCAAGGGGCTTTGTGATAAACAGCATCCACAAAGATATTCAAACACTCCCAACCCATGAGTTTAGTTATCTATAAACAAAAGAATTTCAATAAACTCAGGAACCTTCTAGGTTATTTCTACCTCACCTATAACTTACCTCCTACAACATTTATGAACCAGTGGGAAATGCTAACCAGTGCCTGGCATTACTGAGAAAAACAAGCAATTCCTAACCTGGTTCCTACAACGGCTTCCCGGCAGAATCCTAAGAGCCCGGCAGAACCCTAAGAGCCCGGCAGGCACCAGAGCGCTAAATGGATGCTCTTCAGCAGCAAAGATCAGTAATTTCATTCCCAGCACCTCACTATGAAGCACTGTTAGGAGCTCAATCTGACATACAGTAGATGGTGTCCCTCATGGGACTTTCCATGCATGGAAAAAATACTCAGTTTCAACATGTTTGACCGTGTTCGACATTTCTCCACCAAAATTCTGAACTTTATCGCAGTTTTAAAGTGGAGGCTGTAGATGTGATACTCTCAATTTATAATTACCTCAGAAAGTCTTAAATTCTGCCAAGCTACACATGCAAGCAAATAGACAATATTATTCATTGCATGCATTAACCTGTAGTCACAATCTTCTCTAAAAAAAAAAAAAAAAACACCACATTTAATTGCAGATAAATCCTCATACAAGACTCATTCTTGTAATTCCTAAACAGTAAAGCAAAGCTGAGGAGTGTTTTAGAAAACATTTCCAGCCTCAGATCAGAGGGCTGGAGCACCTCTCCTGTCATGAAAGGCTGCGGGAATTGCGCTTGTTCAGCCTGGAGAAGAGCAGGCTCCAGGGAGACCTTATAGCCCCTTCCAGTGCCTGAAGGGGCTACAAGGAAGCTGGGGGGGGACTTTTTACAAGGGCCTGTAGTGACAGGACAAGGGGTGACGGGTTTAAATTGAAAGTGGGGAGGTTTAGATTAGATATCAGGAAGAAATTCTTCCTGGAGAGGGTGAGGAGGCACTGGGACAGGTTGCCCAGAGAAGCTGTGGATGCCCCATCCCTGGAAGTGTCCAAGGCCAGGCTGGATGAGGCTTGGAGCAACCTGGTCTAGTGGAGGGTGTCCCTGCCCATGGCAGGGGGCAGGGGGTTGGAACTAGATGATCTTTAAGGTCCCTTCCAACTCAAACCATTCTGTGATTCTAAGATTTTCAGAGTGAATCATTCAGAAATGTCTAAAATAAATCCTTATCCAACTGGCTATAATAAAGTAAACCAGTATTTCTATGGGGGGAAAAAAAAAAGTAAACAAAATGAATGCACTAGAGATAAAGTTTTGTGTATTTTTAAATAAATAAAAGCACTCTTACCTGTAGCTACACTAGGTAAGCAAAGTAAGATTTGTGTCATGAAATAAGTCCACGATGGTTATTACCGCAATCTACACTTCCACAGCCAAGACTAAGTGCTCAGTAGAGTAAAGGTAGGAACCCTTTTGCTTCCATTTTAATAATCCCCATAAATTTCAAATCCTACAGACCAGCAGAGACTACAGTTAAACAAACATTCTCATCTGCACAGCAGCCACCTACCATAAATGAACGACTTACACCAGCCAGAGAGATGTGGAACTACATCTCCTCTGAACTTAGCTAGGACTACAGGCGTATTGAGATGACCTTACTTTAAGAAATAATATTAGCTGTACACTTAACTTGTTTGTTAATACTACCAGGTCATTTCCCAACTATTTAATAAATGCAGTAAACTAACAGTCACCTTTTTCCTGAGAAAGCTTCTCCTCTTGTCTCTGGTGATGAGGTTTATAAGGTGCTGCACCACGACCGAGTCCCTCAGCCACAAACCCGTCCAGAAAAGATAAGGAAGCGTCTACCTACACAGAATTAAGAAAAGTGAGAAAACAAGGAAAAAATTTTCTACACATGAGCCTGCTGTTACCAGAAGAACATTGTGTCTTATCAGCAAATCAGGGACTTCTGTCACCTCTCCCCTATCTACTCTGTATTAACAGAAATTGTTCAGCAAGTATGCTGAAACAGACTTCAAGCTAGCGACTTGTAACTTAAACTCTTCTGCTATTGTGGGTTTTTTTTGTCTAAACAAGAAAAAAAAAAAAGGGGGGAATAAAAGGCAGAGTGGAGTTTCCCCCAAACTGTTGATCCGACCTTTGTATGAAAATACTGAATTAAAAAAACAAACTCAAAAACCTCAGCAATACCAATACTATTTTCCATCATTTGTTATGGGTATTTCAGTTTCAGGATCACTAGTTTCTGAATAGGAGGCAAGCCCTTTGAATTAAAAAGCAGTACCGTGACACCAAAGCAGGCCCGACTTGTCTTTAAGACAAAAGGCAACGAAAAAAATAAATCAGCGGATGATTCATCTCCAGTCAGAACTGTCAATCATCATTCACCTTGAAACCAGTTTTTAACCAAAATACTCAACCCTCGAGGTTGAACTGAGGCAAGAGGTTGAGGAAGAACACACAGGGCTTACCACCAGGTCATTGCAACTAGCATCAAAGGGAAGCAAGTTTTTCATCAGTGCTTTGTCTTCAGACAGACGCTTCAGCTCAAAGGCAGACTGTCTCAGGCAGGTATCTAGGGAGGTGCTGAATTCCTGGATTAGTCTGTCAACTGTTTTGGAAGAGGGGGCGCGTGACGCGATCTTGGTGACGGCAGCCATTATCCAGACTTTAGTTTCAGAAGTAACACAAGTCTTCTTCAGCAGGCTGTGCAGCTTTGTCAGAATGACCTCCGGGTCAACATCCGTGACAAGGCTGGAATATTCCCCCAACACCTACCCTCAAAGAACAGACGAGACACGCATTTAGTCACGCACAGCGGCGCCTCCCGTTCTGAAATTAGAACGTAGCACTAAGTAACATCACAACAAAATCCACCTCACGGTCAAGAAACTATTCTTTACAGATGTTCCAAAGCATTTATCATTCGGTGTTTTAAATGTCACAGGCTTGAAATGACCTGTTTTACCTCCAACTTTTAGCTTCTTAAAAAGCAAGCAGCTGTCTCGAGAGGAAAGCTAAACACGGCAATGTTTACAGGCAGACAAAACGTGGTTTGCTCATACTGCAACCTCTTCCTTGGGTGGAAGCAGAAGCTTAGCCAGGTAACAGACAAATACCAGCACAGCACTTGGTCAGTGGCCTGCAGGGCTAAATATGCGTCTCACAACCACATCTGGCCTAATCCTGATGAAGTCAGAAAGGTTCTCAGCAGGCAGCCTCATGGGGCTGCTAAGCCATTCCAATAGCCACCTGCCTTCAAGGGACCAAGTCAGCTTTTCCACAAATTACAAGCTAAGCAGTCCTTGGGCACAAAAAGAGGTCACTAAAACCAGATTTCAGCATATTATCTTGACTTCAAGTTAAACCAGAGTATTCATGACTAGAAATAAAAGTTTTAAATATTTATTACAAACAGCACCACCTTTGGCAGTTTCCTTATATATGTGTATTCTATTCTGACCATGTGTTTACCTTACCCAACTCATAACTTGAAGGAATTTCTGTGGATACAGTGCTCCTTCCTCTTCAAGTAAGGCTAGGTAAGACTGTACTGCATACACCCGTAGCTGATAGTCTTCTTTTCCATCATCAAACCCTAGACAGAAAACAGTACACACTTTGCTGAAACACAAGTAACACCTCCCACCAAACACCTCAAAGTGCATTATAATAAAAAAAAAAAAAGCCAGATGATGAAGGAACACGTCTAATTGTTCAGAGCATTTTGAGGAGTTACTCACCCTCAGCCAACAGCCTCAGAAAGTTGTTTGGGATATCAGGATGCACAACATCACCTCCAACAGAAAACACAGAGTTCATTGTTTGCATGAACCACTCATTGCCAGGAGCATATGTGTCCAGGTGTTAAGGAACAGAGTGCTAAGGCCTAACTTTCTCTTTAGTGTGATTCCTAAGGAAACACTTTCCACAAATCAGCTACCCACCTCGCTCTCCCCGGTAAACTGGGGGTCTGACGGTCAAATATCAGCTCAATCTAACCGAAGAGGAAATATTCCTCTATCTTTCATAAAGTGCTTCCTGTGAAGTTCAGGAAGCCAGGTTGGGAAGTCATAAGTTACTGCCCCGTGGGAAAAGCCTGTGCCATAACTCAACAGCTATCCATCACGTGCAATTTGGTGGCTCATCAATCAATGCATCCCAAACTGTGCATGAAGAAGTGCCTGCAAGAGCGTAAGTAGACTTCACACAGTAGGAACAGACATGTTCATGCAAGGATTTAGCACCGGAAACCTGTCCTACTGTACTTTAAGTTCACACTTGTTCTGTGCTAGTTTCCAGCATCCCCTTTGGAGTTTGTTTACCCAACATCACTTGATCAATGACAAAGCAGCTGTTCTTTTCAGCAGTGTTTTGCTTGATTTACTGAGGAAAAAAAAAAAAATTCTGAATTCCTCCACAGAAAGCAACACTGCTTTTTTTATATATTTAAAGTTGGATCAGCCTTTGCTAACTTCGGAAGCTAGCTCCTGCCTTCCCTCAAATAAATCCTGAAAACGCACACTTACTGAATGGAAATTTCCAACAGTATGGGAACATTAATATTATTGTCTTGTTCTTCCAGAGGGCATGACACCACTGCTTTTGTTTTGAACACTAGTCCCCGTTCCCAGCAGTGTACACAAAGGATGGTAAGGTTATGAACAGCTTACAACTCAAATTATCAGACAAGAGCACATATAGAAACTCAGGCAATGGCAAGTCTAACAGCAACGTCCACCACGTGCCAAATCATCACTCCCATCTTTATGGCACAGTTAAAGAATCTTTTCTTCAGTTCTGTGGGAGTGTGTTATTCTTAAAATCCATACACCAACCAAGAGTCCTCTGATAGGAAGATCACTCCCACAATTACAGCACAGCACTCAGCGTAGCGCTGAGGCACCTGTCTCCGTGCAGGGGTGTAAGACTTCAAAGTTTTAATCCAAAACCACAAGGTTCTAATGCTAAACTCCAAAGCCAAAATGAAGTATTTTGAGTGTCATTACTTTCTTTCAGTGAAACACAAGAAACACTGTGGCCATCTCTGTATGCACCTCCATCTGCCTTTTTTTTTTTTTTTTTTTTTTTTGCAATCCAAAGAGTGGAAAGCACAGCCGTAACTCCCAAAGGTCATGAAAGATACTCTGAAAGGTACAGATGGTACATGTGCCGGAGCTCTGAACTCCCACGTTTCAGAAAAATAAAAGGATATTTCTCAGCTAGTTCTGCTATTTTGCCAACTAACTTGATGATAGTATATTCTTCTTTGCTTTCTTTTAAGTAGTCAAGCATCTTCTGAACTATGACAACTACATTCTGTCCATTTGTAATTCTGTAGAGAAGCTCTAAAGTCTGAAAGAGAAAGGAAAAAAAAGTATTCAACTGGCTCTGCTGACTCAGAAAAAAAAAAAAGGGAAGCAGGCAAACAAACACTTCAGTATGATGCCAAATCGAGCAACTCTATTTGGCAAGTCTTACATGAAATACACTGCTTATCTACATAGCCTGTCACACGGTTTGTAAAAAAAAACGAGTCACAACGCGCCTTTTCCGCTACTCATCTTGGAAAACCTCTCACCCATCCTAAAAATTAACTTAAGTCTTGATGTTTAAAAATTCACTGACCTCCCTTTTGATGATGGGATCTGGATGGTCCAGGCATTCAATTATTGTCATCTGGTGCTGAAGTGCCAGACTAGGATCCTGCTGGATGACATAGGTCAGAGCCTTTAAACCTAGAATATAAGCGATTCAAAGTGATATACGAGAGTGTATACTGCTATGAGCAAATTAAAAACACCTTCATGGAATCAGGAATCCTTACCTAAATATTTCAAATTAATTTTGGGTGACAAAACAAATTTTCCAATGCACTTGGCAGCCTTTTCAAGTAGTTCAGATTTGGGATAAATTGTATAAATTGTTTGGACACATTCAAACAAGATGGCTGCAGGGAGGGAAAGACACATAATTAATGTGTATTTAATACTTCTATAACAAATATTTAACAAGTAAACAAGTCCACTGCCTGTATCAAGAAACAGCAGTGCCGTCCCTCCCCCATCAAATCTAACCGTAGAGTACCTGCTGACATATGTAAAAGCAGGATGAAAGACTATCTCCTTCAGTATACACATATTTTTTATTAGCCTTTGTCATTGTGCCTACAGCTTCCTGTCCTTAAAAGTTCTTCCAAATTTGAAATCTTCTATAGTTGCTCAAGGGACTGGAACAGTCTTTAGAAAGTCAATGGGCAACTATAAAGGATTTGAGACCAAGTATTTTTCAGTAATTCATACGATTTCTTAGCTACTACCAACAGCCAAAATCATCCCAGGAACATTCTTATTAAAAAAAAGCAGCAACCAACCTTGTATAGCAGTTTGAGAACAAGCTCGAAGGAAACTGAACAACAAACAAGAAGTTAATGAACCCTTTGTGGCAGTGATTTGGGCCAACATTCGGACCAAGTTACTCTCCCTGAGTTAACTGGCACCTAAAAATCATGATGTAATTTTCAGTCGTTCTGGTAACTAAAGTTTTATAAGAAGCTTATCATATATGAACAGAAACTACATCCCTATGCCCCTGTATAAATTGTAATAAACTGCCCACTTTGGCCCCTTAAGTGATTAAAAGAAACGTATTGAACCCTCAGCAAGCACAAACTGTCTGTGTTGTACGGCGACACACCTCCCAACATCTCCTATGTTCCTGCCTAGAGAACAGAATGAACTGAATACACCCAACGTCTGACAGATGCTCCCCCATTTATTATTTACTACAAGAGAACGCCTCCCCAAAGCTCCCCTTTTTAGTGGAACTGAAGCTTACACGATGCTTGACAAAATATGTACCAAGCAGGCAGCAGACTTCTGCACCTTTGGTCCATGTTCCCTCTTTCCCCCAATCTGTGTTCTTTTAAAAAAGTCTCAATTTTCTTCCCATTCCCTTAGCACAGGTACCTTGGCAACAACTATGGGGCTTTACTTTAACAATAAATTAACAGGGGGTTAGGCTTTATTACAGTGAAACAGTTTGACACCATCTGGGTGTGTGAGGAGGTATTAAGACCTGGGCAGGGGAATGAAAAGAAAAATCCAAATAGAAAAGGCAAAGAAAAATCCAAGAAAAATCCCTGAGCAGGGAAAAGACTACCCAAGCATTCCTAATGCACAGAGGTGGATCACTAGGATTTTTCTTTTACCATTTATGTCAACTTAGGCAGTATTCAGTACAAGCTTTCATGAGGAAGCTGCCTTTCTATATTCCAGGCAAGGACAATGCAAACATAGTCCAGATGAATTCCCAGTAAATGTTTCACTGCAATGATAAAAAACGTGCTGTGCAGCAACATGTTATCACCTTCCAATCTGCTAGTTGGACACGTCAGAATACAGCTGTTGTTTACGAAGAATGTAATTAGCTTTTGAAAAAGTACTGCATAAGCATTTTAGCACAACTACTCACATAGTCTTTCCAAATACTGAGAAGTACCTAAAATAACCTCACCCACCGTATGTAACATTATGATTTATCTCTGCTCTTCTTAAAGACTCATCTAGAACATCATACATCAGTTCGCTCGTCCTGTTCAACAAGAAAGAAAACACTGAAAATTATTTGCAGCCCTAACAAGCACATAGACTTGTTTTGCCAAACAGCTCAAACACTAGTACTGACATTTGTAACACAAGTTATTCACATCCAAAGATTCTCTTTAACATGGAAGAGCTCTGTGGCATGTTTCTAAATAGCACCGAGCAAAGACGTCTGCAGCCTTCAGAAGGAACACTTACTACATCACATGAATAAAACCACTTCCATCCCTGCTTGGATAAAACATAGATGAGCAGGAAAATGATCACTGACAACTCAGTCCTCAGAAAATGATGCCACTTTTAAAAATATCTTTACTCTGGATTTTTACACAGTTGCTTGGTAATCTAGCAACGGAAGTCCCAACAAAAATATGTTTCAAGCATATTCCACAATAACCCATTTTTTAGCCAACCCAGAAGCTAAGAAACTAGTTTTGCAGTTTAAAAATTATCTGCTCACTGTATTGATTAGTAACCAGCATATAATAAGTTCAACACTGAAATCCTCTTCTAAAAAAAACCACCAAACCAGAAAGCTGTCTGAGGTACAGGTCTGACTGCATGCTTTGTACCTTCGAAGTATTAATTACGGAGAAAGAGCTCGTTACCTTGGATCATCTTTTCCTAACAGCCCCAGTATCCTTAAAAGCTGAATTTGTAACCACGGAGCTGGCACGCTGTGATAGTTGAAGTCGACAGGGAGCTTTCCTCCCACCACCTGCTTCAGGATGGCGACAAAACTCTCAGTCAAGTCCTTGTATCCAGCTGAGTTTTCCTACATCATGAAAAAGAAATACAATTCCAATGGTTTGATACAGCCCCTCAAAAGTAAAAATCATGCACAACTTGAGTAAGAAAAAACCTACGCTGATGGTTTCATTTCTTTAAATCAAACTTCTGCTCTCCTCCCCCAACATATGTGAGCCCTTCACTTCGAACCTATGCTGCTCTCTCGCGCAGCTGCAGAGGGCAGGAATGGAACCCGAGGGCAACAGTCCAGAAAAGTTTACAAGCAAATTTCAGCAAACCCTTTCACACCTCTAGCTAAGGATGACAACGATGCTGAGCACTCGGATCATGGAACAAACGGACCTGTCAAGCTAAATGGAGAGCTAGCAGAAACAAACCTAACACAGATATACATAAATGCATCAATTAACTTTCCCAACCATTATAAACAAGCTTTTCCTGCTAAACTTCTGTCCAGTACACTGTGTATTGAAAATGAATACATATACACATATATGTATTAAAAATACCTCTGAAGTTCAGGTGTGCTTCTAATTCTTTGCCTACCTTAATCATTTGAAGATAAATATGCAAGGAAGCAGCCATGACTCCAGCATCCCTGTCACATAAGGCTTTCCGGAACTTGTCATGAATATGCTGGACTTGGTTAGGAGCAATGAGATAGAATTTATATAAAGCTTGAACCGCTTTTCTTCGGATAATTTCCCTGAAGAGAAACGAGATTTACCCAAAACAAAATGAAGCTGTTTGTGTATTTCAAGTACTTGCCTTAAAGCAACTGTTACTCCTAGAGCAATGCAGAATTATGTGGCCAGCTCTCCATACATCACGACTTGGAGGAGAGATGAGAACCCGTCTTAGGTATCCGATAACAAATGACTTTGCAAACACCATCGAGGTGAGGAAGTGACATAGTAGGGCTCGATGCCAGGTTGACGATTCAAAAGACTGGACACCAAATAAGCAATGAAATTGGTCACTGCTAATCTGTTGTGGTCACATGTGCAGCTCCAAAAAAAAACCTGTCTGAGCCAGTTCATTCTGCAGTTCCCTTTGTAAAGAACACAACACTCACAATGTTATCCTCTGTGTATGGCTTATTATAAAGTAAGAATCAAACAATTCACAGGCATTGATATATTTTTATCAATAAAGTTTATAGAAAGAGCTTTATTTAAAAAAGTATCAATGAAGTACATCAAGGATCCTATTCTGTTTCTCCACTTACTCTACAAACACTTCTTAAACCACATATTTGTTCAAAGGACTCCAGCAGATAAATTCAGTTACATTCACCTATCAAAACCGGTTTTGAAAAAATTAATACCCATTCAATACTCAGTCAAGAGTGAAAAGGAGACAAGAATCCAAGAGAAAAACTAGGAGAGGGACAATTTCTGAAGGTAATGATCAGAAAGACCACCTCAGAGAAAAAAAAAATCCACCAGTTTACTAAAACTACCTACAAAATTAAGTCATTCAACCATATAAGGCCACCTAAAATTCTGTAAATTAATACGTACTTAGAATGCTGGAGCTTGTCTTCTATTAGGGGAAGAACAGCTGGAATCATCTCCCGTGGAAAGATCTGGCTGACAACGGTTAATGCCATGCACACCTCCACTAGATTAGTGCTCTGTAAGTCCTGTTACAACCATTGAAAGATGACAGTTATTTTTTTTATTTAGACTTTTAAATTCTGCACAGACATACCCCAAACCTTTCACACACAGGCTGGATCCAGCCCACCTACCCAGCCCAAGCACCTAGCTGCCAGCCATCCCGTTGTCTGCTTGTGTTTGGGAAGTGTCAGCTCTCACTGAGCTAATCGGGTTCTTTTCATCTCTTGCACAGGAAGAAGGAACAGGCAGCTCCTCACACTCGTGTTACAGAACTGCATTCATATTTAAAACATACACGAGATTAATACGCAGAGCTACAATCAGTGTCTGTTTACTGAAATGGTTCATGACTGCAAAACTATTCCGAGTCCCGAGTTGGGTCAGTGGGATGAGCCACTTCTCACAGAATCCAAGAGCATTCTCTCTAGCACCCTTGATCTGGCTCAAAGAATTAAAAAAAGATTAAGATCGATAATACTGCCAACTACATATCTCTACACTAAAAGAAGACATTGTCTACTACCTAAGAAGCAAATGCAAATTACACATGATATTCTACAAAAGAAAGACTAAAAATTCAGTGCCTGTCTTAAATACAATTAAAAATAGTAGATCTAGCTCACTGTAACCTTAAACCAAAAAAGGATGGATGAATTCATGAAATACAAGACTACAATTATTTTTCAAAACAAAAGGAAGGTCTAAGATTTCCAGCTCACATCATTATTTGCTCTGGCTATTTGTCCCAGAAAGGTTTTAGTCGTCATTTTGGTTTAGTTCTTTGTGGACTCTCATTTTTTAACTTCTTTCTATATCCTTACTAGTTTCAAGTCAGATTTTCAAAAATTATAAGCCAGTTTTCAATCACAACAACAAAACGTTGGGCTTATTCAGCCTGGAGAAGAGAAGGCTCCAGGGAGACCTTACAGCCCCTTCCAATACCTGAAGGGGCTACAAGGAAGCTGGGAGGGACTTTTTACAAGGGCCTGTAGTGACAGAACAAGGGGTAACGGGTTTAAATTGAAAGTGGGGAGGTTTAGATTAGGTATCAGGGAGAAATTCTTCATGGAGAGGGTGAGGAGGCACTGGGACAGGTTGCCCAGAGAAGCTGTGGATGGCCCATCCCTGGAAGTGTCCAAGGCCAGGCTGGATGAGGCTTGGAGCAACCTGGTCTAGTGGAAGGTGTCCCTGCCCATGGCAGGGGGGTTGGAACTGGATGGTCTTTAAGGTCCCTTCCAACCCAAATCATTCTATGTGCATCATATTCAGTCTATAATTTTTGTGACTTTGGCCTACTGTAATATAAAAGTAATCATTCCGCAGAAAGAGCTGCAGTAAGCCACAGTTGCTCCACGTAAGAGGCAGTAATACAGAAGATGACACCCAAGAAATATTATGTAATCAATTTTCAGTGTCACTCCAAAGCCTATTTCCATTTTCTTTCAAAATTATAAAGGGAACTCAAAAGAAGCCAACAGATACTTGCTGTCAGCTAAAAGCGAAAGTTTACACTGAAATATGGCTCCTCCTGGAGTTGAGACTGTATGTAATTGGTACATTTTAAAAAGGAAATTTTATAGTACATCTCCTTTGATAA